AAAAAATGCCAATCCAGCAACACGAGGAAAAACAAGCTAAGGCTAAGAACAAGTAAGATCTATGAGCTCGACCGAGGAAAGTTAGATGTCAATTTTATCGTTACAGTACGCTAGACTACAAAGAAACTTGAACAAAGTTAAGTATAGTTATCGCAACAAATTATAAAATGTAGCAAGAATTGAATCAGGTGTTAGTAAATCTATGTTTAGTTTAATTTCTTTGTTTTAGTAATGTAGTTTCTTCAATTGTTATATTTTAGTTCAAGCTAATGCTTTAATAGAACAATGTGTATGGTTAAGTTGTTGAATTTAGCAAGTTTTCTATTGTAACAAGTTTTATTAGTACGTGGTTAATCTTGTTATATGCCATTGTAATCGTCTTTGATTAACTTTTTTTATCAATAATTGATAGGAGGATTTTTATGAAATACTAGCATATGATTCTGTGTTCTGCAAATGAACTGTTGTTTCAATCTATTGTGCTTGTTTAAAGTCAGTTATTGTGTTGGGCGATTTTTCGTTGTAGCTCGTAAGTCTGGTCACAGTACTAAAACAATGCCAAGCAACGTACACGAGGAAAAACAAGGTTAATAACGTCTAAGTCAAGGATGATTCGGAAGTATAGTAGGGGAGGAAGGTGAAGAATCAATGGCAAGTAAGCTGGATCGAGGAAAGTTAGTTATTATCGTTACAGTACACTGGACTGTCAAGAAACTTGGAATAAAAGTAAAAAATAGTTTATTTCCAGGATTCAAGTCATAATAATAAGATTCAAGTATATGTTTAGGTTCTTTCTTTAATTTTTTGAGTATGTAGTTTCTTGGATTGTTATATTTTAGTTTAAGCTAAATGCTTTAACAGAACTCTATGTATTGGTTCCTTAAGCTCTTGAATTTGGCAAGTGTTTTATGTTTAATTGTAACAAGTAATAATAATGGTTATGCGCCAGTGTAATCATCATTGGTTTACAATTTTTATCAATAATTGATCAGAGGATTTGTATGAAACAGTAGGTGTTAATTACGGAATACTAGGATGTGATTCTTGTTCTGCAAATTTACCATGTTACATAGGTTCTACGGATGAACTGCTGTTTCAATCTATGGTGATTGTTAAAATGTCAGTCATCGTCTTGGCTCGTGTTGGGCAAACTTTTAGTCCAATCTCGTAAGTCTGTTTATAGTGATTATACTAGAGCTACTACTCGTAGTATGAGGCATCTAATCGAAATTTGCTTGTGACTGTAATTAGAGGCGGTCAATCTGTATAAACAACCTTAGCTCTAAGATGCAGGCATTATTGGGATAAAATGCAAAATCTTGATGGGATCGAGTTGAAATTGACATCCTTGAGGCCTGTTGTATATACGAAGTGTTTTTTAAGTTGGACACAATACCTCGAATTAGTTTCTGCACTAACTTATAAAAGTTACCCAAAATATCTGTCTGAACCCAATTGATTATGCTTAATTCTGCAGCTAACATTCGCAACTCACTCTACCCTTGTATGTTGAAGATTTGATAGTAGTTCATCGGGACAAGGGTGTTCCTGACTTTTTGTGTAGAGGTCTGGGTGTATATGTGTTTGTTTGTCTGTTTTTGAGTGCATTCGCTCTAGGGTGTTGACCTTGTTCTGTTTTGAAATATTCTTAACATGAAATTTTGTGTTTTGTCAGAAGAAATCTTCAGTAATTTGTGTACTGAAAATCTTAGCAAGAACAGTCTGCAGCTGTTTTAGGAGCAGCAAGTATACTTTTTGTGTTTACCTAAAATAGTAGAAACTAATGAGCCTTCAAGGTTGCAACACGGCGTAACTAGCCTAAGAAATGTGCTTAAACCTCTAGGCTGCTGTGTGCTGTCATGATGGCATGTAGGAGGATCTGATGATATTGAGGAGCCAATGATGAAGAACCGCTTAGCAGTTAGTGAGGCCCTGTATGCTGTTTATCGAAAGCTGATACAGAGTTCAGGAATTTTTTAATTTTCATTGTCGCTGCTAGAAATTTTTACTTGGTCCTGGCAAGTTGTAAAGTTGTAGTTGGGTGCTAGTAATCAGTAGTAATACACCTGATGTTTTTTGTGTACAATCATATCTATATATGTGCTCTAAGAAGTATCTTTCAAAAGAAAATTTAGAATGTAGGAGATTTTGACTGCTACTTTTGTTCTGGTAGTTTCTGAGTCAAAACTTATATGCCTGATAAAATGGAATAACTAGCCGTACGAGTTCCTTTTATTGGACAGCTATCAGTATTCCACAAGTAATGTATTGCAAAACTTGCTAGAAATCGCGATGATTAAACCAGAGCAAGAGACAGAGAAAATGGAAACCAAAATTTGTTTTCTTAGACCGGATATGACATTATAAACACTCAAGAACTATATATAGAGCCCTCCCTTGGATGATTCTCAAAATTAAATGACTCTCTCAACCGACTGGAAAAGAGCCTAATCAACAGTACTCTGTAGTTGATATCCGCCCTAGAGTTACTTAAATCAGATTTGATACTTCTGAGAGAACTTGTCCAAGCTGTAACATTTTCATAAATATTTACATAAGCCAGTGGATTTTAGGCGAGTAGCTAATTAATATTTCTAGGCCGAGTCTGATTAGCTAAGAACTTGAAGCTTTGCTTAAGTATGTTTGGTTATTTCTTACCTTCAGATGATTAGTCACAAGGTAGTCTTATTGGTTCTTAATCTATCTTCCCATGTTACGTCGAAAAGCTAATGTGTAATGACAGAAATAAGCCTGTCAGACCTGCAACTTTTAGCCAGAGTTTTGATCATTCTCCTGTGTTAAATCTGATTTATCTTCCCAGGCCAGATTATCTCTTATGCTAGGGATAACTTAAGTAGCAGGCCTTGCCAGTGCTAAATGCAACATCCTATATACTACTTACTCGCCTAAAATATTACAAGTACAATAGTAGGGTATGTAAATATTTAAAAATATAATTGGGAGAGAATTACCCTCTAATCTGTTAAGGAAGGAGGATTTCATATGCATAACTAAAACTTGACAATTTTTGTGCTACTTTGAATTGACATAACTTGAAGGGTGGACAATTATGTCATAATAACTATGTCACTTATTGTCGCTTGATAGTTTTGGTTAAATAATAGGAATTTAACCATTAAACTATGTCATAATTCGTGTCTTTTATCGCATATATGACAACATAATTAATCAAATCAATTAAAGTAAGATTGAACCATAAATGTCATGAACATTGTAATACATGTTATAACGCAGGGTATCATCTGGCCCAAAATTAGTTTTTAGAACAAACCAAAATTCTCGCAATAGTTACGTTATTTCACTAAATCTAGATGTTTACCTAAGCTACTCTCACCCTTTATTTTGATTTTTAAAAAATTAATTAATTAAGTTCAATGTTTGATCTTTTGGTGAAAATTTTCCTTATTTATTTTAAGTAAAGGGTTGTGTGCTTGAATAGCAATGCCTAAGAAACTATTGGTAAGTTCCAAAGATTAGCTTGCGTCAAACCTAGTAACCTACTATCTTCGGGTGGACATAATTATTGAATTCTTCAACATTTTCTTGTTTTCGATAGATGCTTGATTTTTGAAAGTGTATCAACAATTCGATTTACTTTGCTAAAGCATGGGACATAAATGTTCCAGCAAAATTTTGCAAGAATTCACACCCTTCATCAATAATCAATTGCATAGACCATTAGACCGTGGGCATTATGAACCCTCGAAGGAACATATGGAATTAGGGAGTATATAGTCAAACAACACTTTTTGCTCTAAAAAACTCATATGCTAAACACCCTCATTTATCCATTTGACTTATTTATCTAGTCAAACTATGTCAATAATTTAATAGTTTAAATAAAGAAAAAATTGACAAAAATAATACAAACTTTGAGCAGTTCGCCAAAAACAAGTCAATATTTTAATTATTTCTGAATAATAAAAACTTTGAGGAGTATCCGCTTTAAACAAGTTAAAACCGGTTAGTTACCTGGTTAACAAGTTATATGAGACACGTGGCACTGTTTTATTGGTTTGTCAATTTAATTATTATTTTTTAAAATTTATTTAATGTTTTTAATTATTTTTAAAGATATAAATAATATTAATTTTATATTTACTTTAATTATTATTATTTAAAAAAACCCACCCACCAGCCGTTCCCCTTTTCTGACGCCCAGCGCTCCCTCCCTCCCCTGCCGGCTGCCGGAGACCCCCTACTTCAACTCCATTACCTCCCTTTCCCACAACCCCCTTTCGCAATCCTCACTCGAAACCCTTCTCGCTGAACCTGATTCAGAAAGGGTTGGGGGGTTTTAGGTGAGGTTCGTCGAACGGTGAGGGAGTAGGTTGGATAGGTTCAGCGAGTCGCCGAGGATAGTGGATTTGGGGCTGGGTGGGGGTTCAAGCGTAGAGTTGGGCGTTGGGTGGGGCTTTGCAGGTCGATCGGGATTAGGAATGGGTGGGTTGGTCCGTCACTGGTAGGGGTACGGGGTCTGGATCAGGTTCGCTGGTTCGGGCATGGGCGGAGCCGCAGAAGAAAGAGAAGGAGGGTTGTGGGCTGTAGTGGGAGAAGGAGCTGTGGTTGGGGCTGTCGGGTTTGGGTAAAGGTGGAGGTGGTGGTGGCAGTTGAGTGAGGGTGGTGGGAAGGGAAAGGGAGTGGGTGGAATTGTCTAGATGAGGTCGCCGATGAGGGAGGGCTGGGTGTCGGCCGGCAGTCACTGAGGTAGGGGTGCTGCTAGCGGGGAGGGGTTGATTTTTTTTTAAAAAAAATTATTTAAATTTTGTTAAAAATTAACTATAACTAAAGTTTTAATTAGGAGTCAATTAAGCTGTTAAACAAGTTTATAAACAAAAATAAAAAAAAATTAACCTGTCAAATAAGTTGTAGTTAAAATAACTTGTTTAAAACGAATATCCCTCAAAATTTGTATTATTTAGAAATAATTAAAAAAATTGATTTGTATTTGACGAATCGTTCAAAATTTGTATTATTTTTGACAATTTTTCATTAAATAAATATTGATGAGAATAAATTTTGGCCGTTCATATTATTTAGTCCGATGGTTCAGATTATATGCGAGTATATGTTTCCGGTTTCACCCATTCACTCATACGCTGCAGTCTGCACCCAGTTCTCTCGCTCACCTCCATTGGAGAGAACTCCAAATTCTCCATTAAAGCAACTTCTGAGCTTTCTCTCCTCCATTAAAGCAGTTTCTTAGGTAATGTATTCTTTCCTTTTTTCTTTTTAATCTTCACTTATCAATTTCACAATCTAGGGTTTATCGTTAATTTAGGGTTCTTCTAAAGTAATTTATTGAACTATAGTTTATAATTACTGAACTTATGAAAGATTATACCGAGCAATTTTGTCAATTTCTATAAGCGAGAAGAATTTTATGTTATTTTTGGAGCTTAATTTGATAAAAGAAATCAAAATTTGTTGCAGAATATTGCTCTTAAACCCTTCAATGGCGGCCTTGACATGGGAGCCCAAGATCCCATCATTCGGAACTGCTTCTTCGTTTTCCATTGGAACTCGCAAAACCCAAATTACGCCTGAAATCAGCTCACTTTATAAACCCAATTCAGAGCTTATTGATGGTTTGTTTGTTCCTCCGAATAATCCTAAACAACTCAATAAACTACGCCGGAAACAACTTAAAGATACGACTGGAGCAGATTGGTAATAATTTTGCTGTCAAATTGTTTGAATTTTTGAAATCTGGTCAATTTTTTGGGAAATTTGTGTGATTTTTGATGTGGGTTTTGGAATGTTTTTCAGGTTTGATATGCCTGCCCCGGTTGTTACGCCGGAGTTGAAACAGGATCTCCAGCTACTAAAGGTATTGCATTTTTTACTTTCTGCATTGGTTTAATTTTGGAGGATTGTGTTCTTAGCAATTGAATTTATTTAATTTGAATCAAACTTTTCAATACTTGTTGATTGAAGCTTGAGTCTTGAGGAAAATCAGGTTAAGTTTTGGAAGAACATTGAATTTTTAGTAGTAATATCCCTTGTCCATATTTTATCAACTGGGCTATTGTTTTGTTCATTTAGGTTAGACTTGAAATAACATTGGCATTTGATGAGAATTACAGTGAAGTTGGGTTGTGAGTTCAATATTAGGTGTGTAGAATTTTTGTCTCCACTCTAATGACTTTCTAGATATAAAACGGTTGAAAATTGGGAATTTTAGACTTGTAGTTCTTCAATCAGTGAGTTAATGGTTCTTGTCCAACAATCTGTACGATAACACCAAAGCCTTATTCCCAAATAGTTGAAGATAAAGTTAGCATTCAGAGTAGATAAAAATAAGATCATGCTAGTAGCAAGCTAGCAATGGATAGAAGTGAATAGAGGAAGACGAATTTCAACTTTTGTCTCACTTTCTCCAATTTAGCATGAACTCCAGCTTTAGTCTCATTCTTCGATACAAATATTTTATCCACAGTTAAACAATTAACACAAAGGTATCTCATTTCGGATTCACCTTGTTAATGCGTCCATGTAAAGAGGAATGAACTTGGTGTAAATCATTGGTGTAGCCAATTGTTATATGATTGTTACTTTTTCATACATTTTTTTCATATTTCTTTACAGATAATTACCTAGGTCGAAGCATTTACTTGGTATTCCCTATTAGCTTATTTACCCATTCTATCGATTAAAACCCAATTAAAACCTTAAGATAAGCGCCCTTTAACCTTCAATATTAGATCCTTTACTTATCTTTGAGTGTATTCATTCTTAGACTTGATTTGATAGATCGAAGGCTAGGAGTCTGTACTGAGTAGCTACACACTCTTCTTATATCACCTTTTATATCAAGATAATTACCTCTATCGTTTTCAGAAAAAAGATAATCGTTTCAAAAAAAAGATAATTACCTCTATCCGTCCTCCTTGCCAAAGTTCGTCAATTTGTGTTGTATTTCTTTATTTTAAACTGTCGCCAAATGGTTATCACGCTTCTTGAACCAAGCCTTAGCCAAGATCTTGTAGATTTTCCTTATGTGAATTAGAAGGAACCCAAATGGTGTGATGCTTTGTGGAAAGTCGTAGTATATCATACCATCTAAATGCCCTCTTCATGGAGTAAAGTTTAATAATCATTATAAATCTTAGTAGTGCAAGGCCGCTTAGAGAGGTACAAAAAGCTACAAATTCTATACTTTGTATGTTGCAAGCTCAAATCTGCCGTAAGTTGCAATTGATAATGTTTCATATGCTTTTCAGAAGTACATGAGTAAAAATGATGGTCGTATAATGATTACAGAAGTGTTTCTAAGATTGCTGTATTGCTTTTTATTCAAAGGCTTTGTTAATATTTTAAAACTATACCCTGCCTAATTATCTAATATTGTGCTGAACATTAATCATGTAACAAGGAACACATTCTGTTAAATCTCATAATACTCTGTTACTGTTGTGTTGCATGTCAGGTGTAACTTTTGTGCACCTTTTCTCTTTCTGTAAACACAATGGATCTCCAATGAGCTCTAATAAACTGTTTTCTGCTAAAATATTGCATTGTAAAAATGAATAAACAATAAGCTTATCAAGAAACTCCTATAACAGAGCCGTGGTGCTATGAAAGTTTGCTGCAAATCTTTGGTAGTGAGAAACGTATCAGTCAGTTTACCTTTGGCTTTAAATATAAAGGTGTTTTGCATTGGGCAGGAAGGTCTACCATGACGTTAGAAGTAGTAAATTAATAGTTTATTCCATTGCTATGATGCTTCCCTTATTTGCTGCCTAGACACTAATCTCAATTTCTATATACAAATTGGCTATAGCATGTCTCCATTATTCTGTATTAGCTGCAGGTCAACACTTCTCTCACGTTTATAATTCAGGTTATTAATCCATTTTGATGTCTCAAACTCACAATTATCTCATATTGATGGTAATTTCATAATCTTTGCAGTTAAGGAATGTCATTGATCCAAAAAGACATTATAAGAAGGGTGATACGAAGTTGAAGACATTACCCAAATATTTCCAGGTAAATGTCGCATCCCCTGAATTGATGCCATTGAGCTCCTTCCCTTAATATTAAAAAAATGTAGTTTTTACCTTAGCTGATGCTGCTGATATATTATTTTAATCATGTTAATAATGTAGGTGGGTACCGTAGTGGAGTCAGCATCAGATTATTACTCCGCTAGGCTCACTAAAAAGGAGAGGAAAAATAGAATTGCTGATGAGCTACTTGCTGACAGTTCCCTTGCACAGTACCGGTAAGTCATGAAACATGTTACTCCTCTGTATTTGTTTGAACGTCACAAAACTAGAGATCTTTCTTTGTTTGCTGATACACACACATGCTTATTTTCCCCAGGAAGCGCAAGGTTAGAGAAATCGAAGAGCATCAGCGTCCTGGTGGGAACGAGAAATGGAAGATAAAGGGCAAGTTTACTCTAAAGCGAGCCAAGGAAAAGAGGCATTTGTCAGAACAGAGGCATGCATCTTCTGGAAATAATAGTAATAAGCGCTTTAAAAGACTTTAGATGTCTAATTTGAGACATGGAACACTTGGACCAAATTGCTCAGCCTCCATACCTGGGCAACTAGTTCAAAGTTTAGCCGCTGAAACAAATTTACCAATAGCTGCAGAACCTCATGGAGCAGCGGTGGTCAGTGACTGCATAAGTATCTTGTAGGTAGGCATAGGAGCTTATATTGCATCGAAGCTGGACTAATGCCAGTCATAATAGTTTGTTTTGGTATTATTAACAATTTGTGTCTCACTTTAAATAGTTTACGTAAATTATGACATAGGGAATGGTCTGATACCATATTTGTTGGTGCAAATTTTGTGTCCTGAGTGAATTTTATTGATTCTTTGATTTGGTATTAGATACATTATACGAGTACTCTATTTTCTTATGTTCTTCCTACTTCAATCTGTCAAACAAGAACCAAGGAATGGAGTCAAAAGAAATCAATTAAACTTCAAGCAGACACAAGGTACCCAACTTTTGTAGGATCTGTTAACCAATAAAGAGTTCAACTTATAGAAGTCAGGCCTACAACAAAATCAGTACGTTCATTAGGTTTGGATTCTTATTAAAGATGCTTGATTATTTCAGACTAACATCTGTTGAAGAATACACAAATGCGTATGATTAAATATTGTGATTATGATGGTGGATGTGTGCATAGTGCTCACTGTGCATCCATTGAACATCAAGCCTAAAACCAAAGAATATGAAAACCGACTCTAATGAGCAAACATAAGAATTATAAGTATGATGATGCTATGCTCATTGGTTTATGCTCTTTCATGTTCTTTGGCTTTATGCTTGATATTTATCGTGTGCATAGTGTACATTGTGCATATGCCTCCACCATTCAATTATTAGCGCTACTGCAAGTCTGCAACATTTCATTTCATGCGATACGTAGATTACCAGTGCATTAATAACCCTTTTTTCTCTCATATAATGAAATTACTTACAAGTTGAAATTACAACACTCTGACTTTTACATGACACATTACTTTGACCATTAAAATCATAATTTATATACTAATAAAATCATGAATGTTGATGTTTTAACTTTGTTGCAATTTAAAGGAAACATAAGATGAAATATTCCCTTCCCGTGCAATCTATTTATAGCACAGCCCTTGACTTGAGTGGCAAAGCATGACTAGATACAAAACAGAGATAGGCGAAGTATAATGTCTCCAATACTAACAAGTATCATTAATCTACACACATGAAACTATCAAGCCATAACAAGTAAAAGATCATAGAGACACAATAAGGATATTCACTCTCCTCATTTGGAGCTTATGGAAAAATACAATGCAATTAACCCCAAAAAAAATTTGTGTTTTGTGAATGGAAATACAGAATTCACAATTATTCTCTTTAATAGGAAATCCAACTAATGCACTCATCGGCAATCCAAAAACAACTATTCACAAAAGCATCCTTCTAACATTTTTTTTTTAAAAAAAGAAATTAAATATCTAATGTATCATTTTGTTTTAGATTATTTGAAAAATAACTTTAGTTACATCTAATTATTTTTTCCGATACATTAGGTGTTTTTCTCGTGAAGTCATGAGAAGGGTCTCCTAATATTATTTTTTATCGTGGTATTTATTAACAATAATTAAGTAAAGCTACCATTTACGTAGTATATGAGTTGAAGTTGATTCAGAGTTTGCACCAACATTCATTTGAATTTTTTCTTCAAGTTCGGAAGGATCAAATTGGAGTCGGCTACCGAATATGCTTTTAAGGTCAATCATCATATTAGTAACGGTGACTTTGCCCCTTTGGTCAAGGATAGCCTCCTAATCTGCCCTTCTTATGATTAATATACTAATTCAAATATTCGACTTCCACTATATTTTGTTCTTTCCCTAACTTTTTAATAATCTTTTTGTTTTAAGCTCATAACAGTAAGTATAAGTGTATAGCCTCATTGAGTCATTGACCATATGCTAGTATTTTACTTCCTCCATTGTACGATAAAGAATAGAGAAAGTATATATTGTTTGTTTTTTTGTGATAGTTAAAGTTACAAAGTGTAATTATGTAGATAGTAATTCAATCTCATTTCATCAACATATGCAATACTCAAATTTTTAAACAACTAAGATAATTATTACGACATAATCACGTATTCGGTCACATAATTCCATATTTTCGCTTCCTTCTTTAGTATTTTGCCAATTTGAATGTCTGACCCCACCTAATCATCTACTTAGAAACAAATCAACCCGTAATTTGTTGTATACACCCGGGTGCACCATATACCCAACTAACCCAATGTTAATTTTTGTTCTTATTTGATAATTAAAAAAACAATCATCAAAATGAGAACAAAATACTCATGGGTGTACAATGCACCCGGGTGTACTGTATTAACAATCACAGCATATTAACTAGTTAATATGACCCTATTAACAATTATTTGGATATTGTCATTTACTCTTTTATATAATAACTTTTATTTTTTTCCTTTTTTTTCGGTACATTAAGTATTTCCCCATAAACAAAAATCTCATAACGGTTATTTTTTTCATTATAGGTGAAAAAATACTTTTTACACATAAATAAGTAAATTCATATTCTACGAAGAGATTACCATACACCCATAAGTATTTTGTTCTCAATTTGATGATTGTTTTTCATTTAATAATTAAATAAAGAACAAAAATTAACCTTGTGCTAAGTTAGGTGTACAGTACACCTCAGTGTATATAACAAATTCTATACTCTACATACTTTGTGTACTACTATAAATTAAACTCGAATTTTAATCGATTAAAATAGTTGACTTGTTACATATAATGCCTTAGTTAAAAGCAAATTAAAATTTCTTCCCAACTCCCAACGTAACCTACCCCATTGCGGTATTGCCACCTAAGTCTTCCCCAATTGCATTTTGGTACTTTGGTCTGTAATCTCAACTTCACTAAACTAGTTTAGATCTGAATATCTCTCTCTTAAACTTTACCACTAAAAACTCCTTGCCGACCCTTAAAAACCCACCTATTTTTACCATAAATTCCGTAATTATTTTCTTGACTATTTCTTATAGTGCTATTTAAAGTTCTAATTTTCCTACCACCATCAAATTCAATTTAGCCTATGCTTTTTGAGTATTATATCTTTCAACTTTATTATAATTATTTCTACTATATTATCATCACCTACCATACAAAGATTTCTTCTCTTTAGTACCTACTTTCTTCAAAAGGGGTTATTCTTGTTCCTCCCTTTTTTTCAGCCACCAAACCCTCCGAATTTCATTTTTTGGGATTTTTTGATCAAAATTAAGAAAAAAAGTTTTGATCTTTGGAAGAGATGATGATAACTAATTTGAAACAACCCACAATTTCTTTCACAAATCCCAATGTTTTGAGGCAAAAATCTCAAATACCTACATCCCAAATTGTCAATTTTTCCCCAAAAATTTGTCGAAAATCCGATCTTTTGATCCAAAAACCCCTAAAAATTTCAAATTTTGATGTAATAGGGCTAGGTTTTGGTAATGGGTTTTTGAGGGAGAGAAAATCTGTGATCAAGTGTGAAGCATATGAAGCAGATCGATCAGAACCCATTGATGATGAAGTAGTAGAGCTTCCTGGTGAAGCTGCTAGGAAGGTTAAAATTGGAATTTACTTCGCAACATGGTGGGCTTTGAATGTTGTATTTAATATTTACAATAAGAAGGTTTTGAATGCATTTCCATACCCTTGGTTAACCTCCACTTTGTCCCTTGCTATGGGTTCTTTGATTATGTTGGTGTCTTGGGCAACTAGGGTTGCTGAGGCTCCTTCTACTGATATTGATTTTTGGAAGGCCCTTTTCCCTGTAAGTTGTTATTCTTTGAATTAAATTTGCTGTATTTTTTTTTTGAAAGCTGTAATTTTTGTTGTTTTAACCCCTAAATTGAGTTGTTTTGTGTGTGGGTTTAAATTCGGATTAGTCGTAGTCTAATAGGCTCTGGATTTCGGGTGGGGTGTCCTAAAAAATTGAGTAGCTCAAAATAAAAATATTTTTAGTATGTGGGTTCTCAACTTTTCATTTGTTACTGTTTTAATTAATTGTGGATTTCTATTATGTAATGTTAATTCTAATTTAATCCAATTAATTAATAAATAATATAAGAGGTCAAAATTTGGAATTTATGCAAGTTCTAATTTTGTGTGTTCTAGCTGCTTTAGTTGAATTAATGGTGTTGTAGCTCTATTGCTTTTTGTTTGTTGAATGAGAAACATGTTTAGTTTGTGTATGAGTTGGTTGTTGATGTAAAAATAAGGAAAAAAAAATGTAGCTATCATAAAGCGTGGATTTGTTTGTTTGATAATGTTGAAATGTTCTAGTGTAATTTGGAATTTGATGTTGTTTAATGAAGACAATTTCAGTTTGATTTTGTCTTCTTATTTGTTGTAGAACAACCTAGTTTGTTCCTTTGATAGTAGTTGCTGTCTGTCTTAGTATTTCTGTTTGGTCCCCAGTTTAATTGGTTTTGTTGGCTTCTCATTGTATGCAATTTTGATAGGTTGCTGTGGCACATACAATTGGACATGTAGCCGCCACTGTGAGCATGTCAAAGGTCGCGGTTTCATTTACACACATAATTAAGAGTGCTGAACCTGCTTTTAGTGTGGTAGTCTCAAGATTCTTGTTAGGTGAGTCCTTTCCAACAGGAGTGTACTTGTCACTGCTCCCCATCATTGGAGGTTGCGCGCTTGCAGCTGTCACTGAGCTTAACTTCAACATGATTGGTAAGGAGAAGAAAAATATGATTTCTATATGGATCAAGTTTTGATCATGTGTAATCTTTTGGTCATATTGAATTGGTCAACATTAATATGGTGCATGAGTCTCATGTGAGGCTATTATTTCCAATTTAAGCTATTAACTTATTCAGATACGTGAGCTGTTCAAATTTACTCATGTCTTGCCTTTTGGGCCTCTCTTAACTTACAGCGGATTCAATGATAGCTGTAATTTGTGTGCTTTTTACATTAACCCAATTTGAAGAATAGCGTCTCAACCCTTGGAACACACATCCAATGTTGTGTTTGCACATTAGAAATATGATAACATAAGCGACTCTTGAAAATAAAACACCTGAGGCAACTTCTTAATAGAAAACATGTACCTTTTCCTTCTTCCAAATCTACAAAAAATTTCAAGCATTTGGAAGTTCTTTAGTTCTTTACTTACACTTGTCAGTTTTGTGTTGTCCAGGGGCTTCCACTTTGATGTCTATTCTATTGTTTTCTTAATGCTAAGTTTGGTATGTAATTGTTACTTCAGGTTTTATGGGAGCGATGATATCAAATTTGGCATTTGTCTTCCGCAACATATTTTCAAAGAAAGGCATGAAAGGGAAGTCTGTCAGTGG